GACCGGTTTTCTGGTCATTTATTAAAGTGTAAATACAAGCAGAGGAGTCTCCAGTCGCAAGTTACATGAACGTGCCCTAATGAACATACATGAGTGTAGTCAATCTTCTCATTGCACTTTCAGCAAGCATTCAAATAGGTGTATTTTTCAACATGTCAAACTGTTCTGTTACTCAGACAACCTCCTTTTCAATTTGGTGACTTCCAAGGGCGCCCAGGCCAAAGTGACATCCTAAAAGGTTGTAGACAAACTATTCAAACTTAGTCAAAACAATAGTAAGACCCACAGCAACACTGAAAACGTTGAGCAAAGAGCAAAGAGCTACAATAAATACTAGACTTAAATGTGACCAAGAGTTTTCTCATTGAATATTCCTTTGCAGACTGCCTCATAAATGGAAGCTGTCAATATAGAAATTGTTGCTGTGACTAACCAGGACAGCTTTTTTAATCATTCAGTTAGTGTCCTAAATGTGTTCCTGCTGCTTCTGGACGTCCACCACATGAAAAAGGCTCCAGTATGTTTTAGCAATCCAGAGCGATACATTTACCCACCTCCACTGAAGGTGAAAATTCATAAGTGGTGAAGCATGTGTAAATCCTTGATTGCTACAATGTGTTTACAATTTAAAACCGCAGGGCAACACCATCTATTGAGGCATTATTTGTTTTCCGCTCCTTTGTAAATCAGAAAAATGTGCTCCTATTAAAAAAAACAAAAAACAGTCATGATCTAATTTCCTCTCACAACCGGACTTACAGAAATGTTTCAATCGACAAACTATTCTGGGCCACATAACGTGCACCCAAAACCACAACCAGCTCCAGCTTTTTCCCTGTTTTTCGCAATTCTTCCACTCATGAGTGCATTTTGCAATGCTGTGCATGTGAAGTCATAATTCGGCTTGTACGAAGTGGGGAAAGCAGCACTAAAACAGCCGCACCTCTGCTCTTAGAGAAGAAGTGTTGCGTAAGGCGGCAGCAGGTTTCAGGTTGACCCTGTTTTCTGTTTCTTGTAAAGTAATAGATGTCACACCAGAATGGCTCATCCTCTGACTCTCTCCTCCAAGAAACCTCGCGCTGCTGCCGTTCAGCCAACGTCATAGTCTGGTTTCGCTTTGGGGGTTGCTTTATTTATGAGCAGCTCACGGGAAATGTGGCACAAGATAACGACGTGAATACTTACCCAATAATTTTGAAAACAGTAAGTATTATCAAAGGGTGACATCACATCCCGTCCACAACGCCATATATGTTTTGGCGGCTGATAATGAGCAGCAGCCCTTCTACTCCCCTGCAGCTAGTGTAACGTCACAGGCAGGAAACTAACTATGCACACAAGAGGATGGCAGGTGCAGCTGTCTCATACGGAGAAACACAAACACACACACACACACACACACTTCATTAATTCCTCTGGTCAGACATCCTCTGGGCACACTTGTCTTTATATAATCTGATAGTGACATATGCCATAAGCTGTACGCGTGCACCGCTTCTGCTAGTTGTCTCCCTTAAAGTCCTGCCTCAATAAATCGCCGGGGCAACAGACTTTTACTAAATCTCTGTCAAATGTATCAAAGAGCCGATCAAAAACGTGTCTATTTCTGCACTCACTTCTGCACATATTCACAGAAAAGATTTACAGATATTATACCAAAGGTGTTTTGTGCACAATTATCGAGAATCGTTTTGTTGTTGCTGCTATTGTTTGTCTGTTTGGTCTTTTGCTGTTATTAGTGGTACCGTTTAAAACCTATTATGAGGCTTGAACTGAACAGAATTTTTAATCTGAAAAAGAAGAGCCGACCTCATATGGTCATACTTCTGACTCCCACAGCTGGAAAGTCCATGTTTGATTTAATACTTCGGTCAAAGTGCACTGGTGTGTCGGAGTGGATTGCTGATGTGTAAATGTGTGTTTTCCTGTGTGCCGCTGTGGGACAGGCGCTGTAGGTCTGAGCGCTGATCAGAAAGGTCCTTATGTTGGGGTGGGAGTGGTGGAAATCCCCTCTGACGTTGTGCTGCTGGTGTGTTTGTGTGCTTTTTGTTTCCCTCGGTCCATCTGAGGCCATGAGATTACAAACTTCTGTAACTAAAGTAATTACTAATATACAGCAAACCTTCATGCTTCTCCTGTTGAAAACAAGTGAGAATAAAAGTGTTGTTAAAAGTCAACAACAGTAATTTCTATATCTCTACATACTAAACTACACATTTACAGTCTAGACTAGTGTGGGAGAAAGTGGAGTGTATTGTCATTTACTGGCATTTCTATTCTCGTGATATCGCACTATTATTCAAATACCATTAAGGTTAACTCAGGGACAGTGTAGCAAGTTAATGTCTGGAAAGGATTTTTTGGATTTATCCGTCTTTTATCTGCAGAATATAATCAGAGACTGGGTTGTATTTACTTTACGGTCATGTGCACCGTTTTAATTTGACTGTTGGTGAACTGCACTGGAGAGAAGACTGACTGTTCTTGGCTTTGTTTGCTCGCTGGCCAGGGATCAGAGGAAGACTCCTATACAAGTGGCATCGTTAAGTTAAGTGGATCTGGCACTCTACCTCGAGAACGGACTTCGTATGTGGGGACCCACAAGACGTTGGCCATGCGACCAGCTTCATGTCCCCACTCACCAAACCAGATCTTTGTAGGTTCTGAAACAAGTTCTGAACGCGGTGAAGAGCTCAAGGAATACATGTAGCAATTGAGTTGAACCCAGAACGCAGCCTCCACACCAAACACACAAACACACGTTATGCCAAACCAAGTTTCCGTTGATCCCATCAGCAGCCTCAAGCTGTAACCCATCTACTTTTAAAATGATATTACAACTTAAAGTCCTGGTTGTCTGTGTATGCTAAATGGTTCTAAAGACCACTGTAACAATCCGACTTAGTTTACATGGCAAAGAGCTGGTCTGAGCTGTAAAAAACTATTGTAATACTATATTGCCACATTTCCCACACCTACATCTACCTACATCTGTTGATTATCAGCACAACTGTAATTACTGGGATGCACTTGCACAAAGGGAAAAAAGTAGTGCAAGAACAAAAAAAACTGTGGTCTTGAGTTCTCTTCAACTTTCCTTTTTCTAGTGCTGCTCGATCACGTTCATGTTCATCATGAATGTTCATCATGTTCGATCACAGAACGAAATGCATTAAACACACAATTGCCCATCTGATGAACTAATTATTCTCGTAAATGCGGATCCATAATTCAGGGTCGTGCTCATCCGAGCTTTTTATGCGCTTCAAAGACACGAACCACCTCAAACGTGTTGACAATACGGGGAAGAAACATCTCAAAAGAGTGTAAGCCATTTTGACATCAGAAGCTTGCCGGCTAATCTAAACAAACTCTCTCACACACACACACACACACACACACACTCCGTCACTTTCTCTCACCCGCCTCCTCGGAGTGGAGGAAGGCTGTGGGCGAAGTGCCAGGTGCCTCATGTTTGGGACGAGCAAACAGGCTCATGTCTTTGACGGCGAGAAGATCAGTGCAAGGCGCACATTCTACGTGACCACGCTAAGGTTGCCACAGCGCACACCCTGCTGCCATGTTGTGCCCCGCAGCTAGGAGACCCGGAGTATACACACAATGCAGCGGCAGCAGAGTGTGTGTCTGTGTCTGTCTGTGTGTGTGTCAGCCTGTCAGTTTAGCCCCACTGGTCATCTCTTCCCACACACATCTGAAAAACAGGTTAAGCACAGGATCAGGGTGGGAATATTGACTCGATATTCATGCAAGAACATTTCAGCAGTGGCTACAAAACATGGTTGTTTTTCTCTACATCTGGTCATAGGCGTAAAGACAAGTTAGTGGTTAATTATGAACAGACTTTATTTGTTGATGGGAAGGTGGAGGGGTGTGTGAGAGCAACATGAACATACCGAAGGTAGAGAGAACATTTATGCAGCAAAATGATAAGCTAAAAATGTCTTTGTGGCGTTGGGCTGTTGGATAGAACAGACCGGCTGATATCATGATTGACAGCCCGGGACGATGGCACCTATGACACAAGGGACTAATAAGTGAGCATGCAAGAGGAATGAAGGAACGTATGAGACAAGAGGATGTTTTACTCTAGAGCTTCATTTCAATTCAAAGCTACGGTCCGTTGCCAAATACAATAATCAGGGCTGGAATATCGTGGTTTTAGCATGACACATTTTGTCACAGTCCATTTGTTTTATCTAATAATGTGTGGTTTCAGCTACCATTTTCTATGTATTACATTTAGCGGTCTACAATATCTTTTTTATGGAGCAAACCATTTCAATAATCTATTACCTTCTATGCTAAACGTTTGAAGATTTGCTACTTTTCTTACTCAACTAAACATGTAATGTAAACTGAATGTTTTGGGGATAATCTTTTTACACAATTTTCTGACATTTTATTTACTTTGGATCCTGGTCAAGAACATTTGCAGATTCATCAATAAGGAAACTAATATGTCGTGGCATCCTAATTACTAATGTGTGTCAAAGAAAATAGAGCATGTGGCAAAATACCACAATAATACGAATGTTCCATAAAATGTTGTTCTGGTAAATTTGATGTGTAATTTCCTGCAATTGTATCTTTTGTCCGGTTATGTTTGTATCATTGCTGTGGTTGAGCCTTTGACCTACTATGTCCTCGCTGCAAAACCGTTACCACACATTTCTTTGCAGCAGTTGTAACCCGACATATACGACCCATATTCACAACCCTGCGTGGACTCACGCACAATGTGGGGGGGAATCTCCGTCTCAGCTCCTGTTCAAACAAAGCTACCTCTCCACAGCCGCACCTCCTCGCGATGAATGAGCCCTGGGTACCACCTCTAGCCATTCCCCTCCCTCAGCAGCAGCAGGCACCCCGGGCAGCACCCGTGGGTGGGAGTTGGCTGGTAGTTGCGGCGCAGCACTCGGGCTCCGTGTGCGCCCCGTGTCCTGATAGTGTGTCTTTGTGTGCCGGCTGCCTGTTGACAGATGAGGCGTTCCAGAAGCTGGCCATGGAGACGATGGAGGAGTTGGACTGGTGTCTGGACCAGCTGGAGACCATCCAGACCTACCGCTCCGTCAGCGACATGGCCTCCAACAAGGTAAGAGAGGCTGCTTGCAATTCTTATACATCCGTTCATCTTCCTCAATAGTGTGGGAAACGTTCGAGGGGCTCTGTCCTTCAGCATAATAAACAGATGAATGCCAGTGACACTGAAGCTGTAAACATATGTGAACTTGCCATGACCATGAAAAAAGTCAACAGAATTGAATGCACAGTAACGAGAGGTTGGTTTGTTGGAGGCTGCAGCAGTGAGCTGTATCAGCATGAGCACTGCCAGGTTGAAAGGACTTGATGATACTCATCAGCTGATTAAAACATCACCAAACTCCATTATTGTCAGCTATGTTTTTCTTTTCTCTTCATGAGAAAAATGGTGGTGCAAATGGAGGAAATGTATCCTCCTTTTTATCCTTTACTAAAAAACAACCATTTCTGTCCAGCCTCTCGTACTGTGATGCAGGGTGCATAGATGATATGAACATACTTTCTGTTTGTGGGACTATTGCATTTCTAAATGCAGCAGTGGTCAATTGGACATAAGGAAATGGTTTGGCGTCTGGAGTGGTTGTTTGTTTGGATCCTCTTTTTGTCAAGCAGCTTTTCACTGGTTGGCTGGCTATTTCTTTCCTGTTTGTCCTGTTGAGTTCCTGCTTCCTTAATAAATATAAAAAAAGTTGAAAAATGTTAATTATTCATGGACTATGAAGAAATGTATAGTACAAAAGTAATAATTCAACTTTTTTCCATTTACATGCTTTGTGGTAGACGGCATCACGCTAGATGTGTTCAAGTGGCCACTCGTGGTAGTGCAACGCCCAAATCCCCTGTGGCCCAAAAAGCTCAATTTCAGAGTTATACAATTGTTACGTCCAGGCGGCAAAAAAATCAAGAAGAAGCTTTTTTTTTTTTAGCTCATGCACTGTGCAAACAATTCTTGTTCAAGTTGCTGTATTACAAAATTCATTACTATAGTAGTAAAATGATAATAGTACAATTTTGTCTGTTAATGTAACAGGTGGATTTCGGGCATGCAATTGAATTTCCAACTCCGTTACATAAACATAAGACTGGATGCATGACCATCATGTTCACATTTGATATTATACCTTGGACTGCTATAGAAGGGGGGTTGATTATAAAACATAAATACAGATTACATCTTTTTTGTTGACTCAAAACTTCCAATAGTTAGAACTTTGTAGGATTTGCTGGTGGCAGTAAATTGACAGAAAGCTGTCGTGAGTGGCAGCTCTGTGTAAGAGAGCCTGGAAGTGGTTTGTAAAGCAAGCCAATGGGATAAGCTTGTTATTTCTCATAAAATTGGACAACAGGATGTGAGGGATCTCGCAGTGGGTCAGAAACAATAAACTAGAGAGGAAGAGAGGGAGCAGTGTGTGTGAGGGATCCATGCAGACCCCTGGGCAGAGTGACTGTCTTTTCCTGTCTCCTTCCTGATCCCCTGCTCTCTCTCCAGACGACAATAGACATCCCATCATGTCCGCTTGGGTTGGTTAATGGTTGTGTTTATTTTTCCCATTGCTGTCGTCATTTGGACGCACAGTCAGCTGGACTGGTTTCAGTTAAGACAGATGAGGACAGCTGAATAACTACGATTAACCATTTAAACATTCACAGACAGACATTGAAAAGTCGATAAGAGCGACAGAATCAAACAGGGTATATACGTTTACTATATTATTAAATGGGGTTTAGTTAACCCTACATTTGTTGAGTTGTTGGTCAAATTATGCCATATAAGAGCATCATTTTAGCACCTAACAGTTTTAAAAAGTATTGGTTATCTGCAGGTGTGATTTCATGAACCTCCCCAACTCGAGACATTCCAAAATGTTCCATCTATGAAAAATAAAAGGAGTTCTTTCCATAATAATCCTATCAGCAGCTGACGGTAGTTTGGCTCAAGCAGTTTGAAACATTTATGCTTCTACTTAGTTGGCAGAATATCTCAAACTGTTGAAGGATGATGTAAATTCAGATGTAGCCAGTAATGAGTTTTTGCTCACAGAGTTACAGAGTGACATATCTTCCGTTGATCCTATTAGGCACAATCGGTTTATTGTTTAACATGATCCTCTCTCCCTGATTCGATTGTGTCCTGACCCGTGAGCATCAGATAAGGACTCCTCTTAAGTATGTCCTCCTTGAATGCATGAGCTGTTTGTGCGCGTGTGAGTGCGTATGTGCGCACATTGAGAATATTATCATTGATGCCTAAGCTATCTTGCACCCAGCGTTGTTTTTTCCCAGCAAACTAAAACATTACACGGCTGCTGCCTCTGCGCCGTGTGACGTGTGACACTCAACCTGGTGTTTGTTAGCGAGAACATGCCCATCAGCTCTTGGGACCACGCAACTACTCGTTGCATTTAGAATGGAAAAACTGTAATTCAAGCTGTGTCAGATTATGAAATATAAGTGTGAGCAGGGGGGGAATGTGAGAGGCCGCTGCTGATGCTACAAGGTGAAGTGCAGGCTGTCCCTTCTAAGAGGCTACAGGACGTCACTGTCCTCCCCGTTACGTATGGCTGACGTAGCTGCATGGGCCAAGGCCAGTCGGAAAATTCTCGTTGACGCAGTTGCTGCTGATATAGATTTTTGGCATAATGTGTATATTTAGGATTTTTTGGAACTGTTTGATTACATGTTGCATCTTGGTTAGTTAGTTATTTTTCACCTTTATAAACTAGTGAAAAGGGACAGAAGGACTGATCAGTGGAAATCATTTTCTTTAGATTTTGGACTGTTTGAAAATAACAAGAGACTGAGAGGCCCTGTTTGCATATAACTCAGTGTACTAACGCAACAAAACATTTTCAAGTTCAGGGAAATCCACTGTGTTCAGCAAATAAGGAAGCGTTCTAGCAACCAGATTGATCAGCGTGGTATTTTCAGTCTAAGCCTCAGAGCTGTGACTGCTGGCTGCAGGACAGCGAGCAAACAGGCGCAAGAGGCGCCCCCCACCCTCCCCCCCAGAGAGGGAGTGCGTATGAGGCAGAGTTGTCTCTCTCAAGCACACACACACACACACACATTCTCAGTCATTGCTCCACATACTCAAGGTGTGAGGTAAAGCCTTGTCAGTCTCCGAAGCCCGAAGTGAGTCACCGGAGCTTTTGGCGTTCCTCAGCATCAGAGAGCCACGGCTTGGTCCTTTCGCGCTGTAGTCAGACTGAGACGCACACGGTATCGGACGGCAGCCCCACTCTGCTCTGCACTCCCCACACAGCAACATGGGAGCCTGCTGCTTTGACAAGAAAGAGAGGAAGTTAGGGAAACTAAATGGTTGGAGGAAGGTGAGTTTTCTTTGATTTGTTTTGTGGTTGGACACTGAGAGCTTTCTTATTTGGTATCTTTATGGATTCTTTGTTGTGTGTGGACTTTAAGTGCTAAACTTTTCTTGCTTGTTTAACATGGTTTGAATTTCACGGGCTGTGGTTATAGTTCTTTTTTTATAGTTTTATTAAACAAGTTTCAGTTGCTGCTTTTTGCTTTTCGGTGTTTTTTAAAGGTATATTTCACTGCCACCGATGCTTGAAGTGAGTTTTAGGATTGTTTGAGGGTTTTTATGTTAAAAGCTAAGCCCTTCTTGCTTGTTGTATTTTTACTTTTTTATCCTGCTTCATGCAAGAGTCAGCGGTGCCTGTATTCTGCTTTTGAGAATATCTGTGCATGTGACCCTGAATTAAGATCTGTGATCTCATGTCATCCGTTGCCAGGTAGATCAAACTTTAATTCAGTACAGATTCTGGATGGAAAGTTTGGTTATTTAAGGTTGTATTTCTGTCCAGTTACTACTTTAATTTTGTGAAATTACATAACCTTGTATCCTTTTGATGAAGAGAAATGTACAAATTGCAGGTGCTGTTTTGTTCTCGTTGGGTCAGTATTAAGCTTCATCCCAGGTTAGAAGGTGACCTATCGGCGGTAGGAGCCGGTTCTTAAGAAAAATCAGCCTGTGTCTGTCTGTCTCTGGGGGGGGGGGAGGGTGTAGTAGTCGGCCAAACGGTTCGTCGCGTCGGTCCACTGGTGGTTTTGCTCCGCTGCTGCAAGCGCCACATGGACACATTTTCGCGCACCTGGCAGTGTGGAACTGCCGTGAGTGGGAAAATTACAGAAGCATTTTCTCAAGAAAAAAGTTTTTTTCCTTTCACCATTTGCAAGGGTGATGGGGGGGGGGGGGGAGGGAGCACCACTTGCACCACTTGTAAACATACATGGATTCTGATAATGTAGGGGAAACACTGGAGTACGCTCCATACGTAGGCAGGTTCCCTGATAACCACAGACATGTTTGCCATTGCATTGAGGTTACCAGCCTGGTAAATATGTAACTTAATAAATTGCTAGAACATTGATGTAACCTTGTAGTGTAACTGCTTTGTTCTTTCATTCATTAAGATTTACTTTACGTGTTTGCATTTAGTTAGTAAAGTTGCATTTAATCAGGTTCATCCATTAGTGAAGTTGTGCGTTTCTGTTGCTGCAGGGTTGTGAGGTCAGTGCTCCCTGAGCAGGCTGAGCTACACCAGACAGAGCACAGTGCACCCACTGGTGGCTGAAAGGCACAACTTCAAACACACACACAAGTTGTTTTAGACGCTGGACTTTTAAGTCAGGCCTTAGTTGATGAGTGTTTTAATTTCAAAGCATTACCAACAGTGGCACAGGAGATTAAAAAGGGAAAAAACAGAAGAGACACTTGCGGATGGGTTCCCCCTTTGGGTTCCCCTCTGCCCCTGAATGAAGAATAAATCCAATCATCAGCGGCAATAACACAATCATAGAGAAACAAAGGGGCCGCAGAGTCTTAAACATGCAGGTGACAAGTCCGCATCAAGTCTTGATAATAGCATTGGTAGGTTGTGTGTGTGTGTGTGTGCGCGCGTGTGCGTGGGCATTTCTTCGAGCCTCTGGGGAACCATAGCTCTTCAGCCCATTGCACAGAGAGACGTCCCCCGCTGTTATTTCGGGTTTCTTTATATATTATTCAGTGAGCTATTATATAAAGAGTTGCTTCCTCGGTTTCCCTTTTTGTTTTTTCTTCATTTCCTGCATCCCGCCTCCCTGCTTCTGGTTCTTTCCTTCAGTGGGAGGATAATCCGGGATCCTCGTAGGGAAGCTTTGATCTCCCCCTCATCCCTCCGTACGTGTGCACGCACACAAACACATCTGACTCAGAGGTTCTCTGGGAACTTCTGTTTACAATTTCCCATGGATTGCCTCTGAAGCGACGTGAACTATGGATGCATTTTCTCGTTAGCGGTGCATTGCAGCCGTCCCCGAGGGGTGGCACCGTCAAAAGTCGTGACAAAATCGTAAAAAAAATAAATAAGAAAAGGGCGCCATCGCAGTCGGCCGTTGGTACTTATGTAACAGTACGTTTCAGTCAGGTGGCCGCAGCCTCGTTTCACTGCAGCGGTATCAACACATCCGAGAACAGCCCATTGATTCTGCCAGTGAAGCAGACACACAGAGAGATTGATGACTTTGTTGGCAAGTGGCGGCTGAGAGAGAAATTGACATGCAAGTGGTGGAGAGTGAGGGAGAGATGGAGTGGAGAGGAGGGGGGAGGGATGGGGGGGAATCGCTGGATGAGAGCAGGCGATATGTGCGGTGTGTCCTCGTGACAGCTCAGCAACTACACCACATGTCTGCCTGGGGAAGGGGAAGCCTCTCCTCCCTTCTCCTCCCTTCTCGTCCCTTCTCCTCCTCTCAAAACAGCCCTGGCTGATCGATGCTGTTGCCATGGTGTTGGGGATGTTCCTTTAATTGGCATAGACACCCTTTCTCAGCGAGAGAAAAGCATGAGCTGTTGTTACCTAAATTGGGGAAAGATGCAATTATCTGCCATATCTCTCTTTTCTTTTGACTCCTGTCCATTCTGCCTGGGTTGTTAATAATAGCATCCACGGACACCCTGATAGCATTTATTATTGTAATGGGATGCAGATAATGAACAGGCTTAGGAGTTCTCTCCGCAACGGTTGCAGCGTTTGGAAAGAAAAGAGGCGGAGGATGATATTAGAGATAATGATGATACACAGTTGATATGCACACTAAAACGTTCCCCCTCTCCGTTCATCCACCTTCCTTATTTTACTGTAGAGGGAGTGCATAGCTATGGCTCCGTGAAATTCCTTCACAATGGCTGACTTCATAAAAACAAATGCCCTTGAGAGGGAATTACAGGGGCTGGGAGACAATGGTTTTTATATGCAGTGGTTGTAAAGCTAAAAAACATGAGAAGAGAGGATTTTTGCTGAAAGTATGGATATATAACATCCCTCCACATCCTCGTGTATGTGCCCAGCTGTAATTAGGGCTACCCCCGTCTCCCTACTTTCTGTCAAATCATGTGTTCTGAATAAAGCGTGTTGCTGGGGCCGGCAGACTACAGCAGAGGGAAGAGAGACAGAAGAGGGAGGGAACCAGAAATTGAGGACGAGAGAAGCAGGTTAGGAGGGGGGGAGCGAGCGCTACAGCAGAGAGAGCAGCAAGCAGTGGAGGAACCCCCCCTCCAGTCAGATGAACATCGATGCCTCACTCCCTCCTCCTCCTCCCTCTCTCCTGTCTCCATCGTTGTCATTTTCCCCTCCTCCCTTCCTCACTCCTCTATAATTCATCAGTGCACGGAGAGTTCCCAGCTCCAGCTGCTGCTGCTCCAGTTGTACCACCGAGCCGAATGGATCTCCTCCTCTTCTAGCCCGGCTACAGTGCTTATTTCTTCCTACGTCTTTCGATCCATCTTTCCTTACATGCATTCTTAAGCATGGAGACTCAGAGCTGCCCCTTTTCTGCGTGCCGAGAGGGAGAGTGAGCCATCGTCAAGCTGCTCTCTTAGCTCCTGAGAGGGGAATCACAAGAGAAAAGAAGAAGGGATCTTTTGTCCTTTTTCCACGCTGAAAGAATACTGTTCGCATCCCTCTTTTTTTCCCCGTTGGATTACAGTTCTGGCTTTGTGTAGGAACGAGAGAACGGGTTCCAAAATGCCTGAAGCCAATTACCTGCTGTCGGTGTCTTGGGGTTACATTAAGGTGTGTGGCGCTTAACTACGTAGCATGTCGGGATAACGCACCCATTTCATGGTACCACTCTGCGCTGTATGTCTGTTGCATTCAGGGCCAGTTTCATACCAATTGAACATTTAAAATATCGATTTGGGGGGCATTTTCAGATTTCCGTGCTACCCTATCCGCACCAAAAGTTCTCTCGATCATGATGAGCCTGGTCTGACAGAATGGTGTTTTGGTGCTCAGGCTCCATCTTGAGCCCTCTGCAGAGCTCTGTGTGTCTGTATAAGTGTGTGTGTGTGTGTGTGTGCACGCGCATGCATCAGTCTGTCGTAAACAGCTGCTGCTGCAGTGCCCGGGTCTCCATGCGTTGTTAAATACACCAGTCTCGAAGAAGGAAAATGGTTCATATTGATTCAAACTACATACAAATTGTAAGATGTTAAAACAAGATTGAATGTAGGGAGCAGTGAGCTCATTTTCCTGTCATTGATTCTTGCACACTGACGCCAATGAAACAGCCATATAGTCCCCATTAAATGTGATTCAAGGTAATACAACTGGAAATTGGTTGCCGGTTGAATTGAGAATTATTAAAAAATGGTGGATTTCCCACTGGTAAAAATAATAATAATCTGCATGCTAATTGTTTTCAGGTAAAATGCCACAAGACATCTTCATATTATTAAATAATATTCGCAATCTGGTGGTATGAACAGGATAATACTGTATTTTCCATGAAATCTTTTGCCATAATTTCTTCCAGGTCTTCCCTCAGTGGAAACTGACGACATTTCTTCTCCCCCTCCCCCCCTTCCCCTTTCTCTCTTGCAGTTCAAGAGAATGTTGAATCGGGAGTTGACGCACCTATCTGAGATGAGTCGATCTGGGAATCAGGTTTCTGAATTCATCTCCAACACCTTCCTAGGTAAATGAAAGTTGCGTGTTGTGTACTGATAATTTCACCAATTTGGTTTTAATAACCCACACTTGACCACAGGCTATAATTTAATCCAAGAAATGAATAAAAAATTCACATAAATATACAATTTTTAGTGGTTCATCCAGTTTTCTGTTTTGCTGCAATGGCGGTTTAGCACATGATGTTACTGTGCAAGTTGTTCTTGCAGGCTTATCTGTGGGGGCGTACCATAAAACACTGCGCCATGAAGCTTCGTTAGATGTGTGTGGCATTGGGCTCAAAATGAGCATCAAATTAAAGTAAAATATGTGCAGAAAAGGGTCTTTAAATTGTTTGAATTCTGTAAAAAGTGATATTTTACTGAGAGCTTGTTGGTCAGAATCAGCATAGGTGGACTGGAACTGGATGCTGTAACACATTCTAGATCTGAGATGAAGTGGCGATGGGTAAACATATGTGTTAATATTTGTATTTAGAGACATTGCTTCTTGTTACCCACCTGCACAAAAATGATCATAAACCATCATTAGCGAGACAACCAATACCCACTAAGGGGTTAAAGGTTTGGCTTGTGATAGATGTGTTCTTGTCAAAAGTACATGACGTTATCTAGATGACAGATGCACAAAGTTGATGGACACGTGAATGGGTTCAATGAAATATAGATTGAAAAGCAGCGGATACCAGCAGACCGACAGGATGCACTTAGGTAGGTATTAAGGAGTATTTATAGACCAATCGATTGGCATCCTGATCGAATGTAAGATTGTTGTCGGATCCCTCACAGCCAGATCCTTCAGCGCAAGAGGAGGGTTGAGGAGAGACAGAAGAAGCAAACGAGGGAGTTGCTGACTGCAGTGAGGGAGAAAATAGAGGTACATACAGAGGAACCCCCTTTGCGGGCGGTGAGATGATATCGGCAGATTTGGTGACTCACATCTGACTTAATACATCTTTGTCGGCAGGGACACCTCGTTGTTCCTCCACCGCCGGATCCACTCACGCTCAGAGAAACTGGCATATGCCTGCTTCTGCAGAGGTCAATCCTTGATCCACGGCAGATCACAAATCAGTTTATTCTTGTAGTCTATCTGGCTTTTTTCTTTTCAGCTGATGGAAATCCAGACTGTTGATTGATAACATTGTGACCATGGAGCCTGGATAACTCCCTAGATAAATAAAGATCCCATCATTTCTCGTCGGCCGATTTCAGACCAGGTTTTCTGACTTTCCTTTGAGGGTTGTTGACCAACAGAATGCCGGCTATTGGCGTGTGCCTTTGCCCCAGCACAGCTGTCCTAGCAAGTTATTATGTCATAATTCCCTTTTTTTAGGCCAATAGCGTACACTGAGGGGAAAAAATGGCCTCAATCAGCCCCCACCCTCCCTACTGCACCTGCGTCTCTCACAGAAGGGCATATGGAGGAGGATGAAAACAGACAGGGGAGAGAGAATGGATTTATACTTCAGCTGCTTAATATATTTTTTTGTAAAACAGTGTGTTTCAAAGAGAAGAAATGAAAATATAAGATGATCGAGGAGAGAAAAGTGCAAACAAAGGGGAAGAATAATTACATAAAAAGGTTTGTACATAAGACCGGTTGACACATTGCAGGCCAAAATAAGACAGACTGGATTTGGTAAAACATTGATAACAGGATCGTGTTAACTGAGCTACAAACTAGTTTATCAGTCATATCAAATCCACTGTGGAACAGAGTGCAGTATTTTTGCCGTTACTTAAGAATAAAAATGTAGACTTGATCGACTCACAATCGGATCTCCCACAGGTCAAAAACACACACACACACAGCAGCGGTGGTAATGAAGGCTTGTAATAAATTAGGGGGCAATATATACTTCTCCTTGTTTTCCACGCGGCACATGTCTGAGAGCGCTTAATTGCCCATCCTCAATTACCACTGGAGGACTGAGGAGAGCGAGAGACAGCGACAGAAAAGCAGAGAAAACAGTGAGAGAGGAGGAGTGCATGAGAGTGAAAGTGATTATTTGAATTACAGCTGGTAATTGAATAACCCTCCACAGGGGAAGGCTGATAACGATGAGCTGAGTCAAGGCATGATAGATGAGTGCGCAGTTCACATTTGTGCCGATAGCCAGTCCCTGCGGGATTTCATTCTTCTGGGATGCCAGTAAACGCATTGGCCTGGTCCTTTTTTTAGAAGAAACATAGCATTTAGCAGAAACATTTATTTTTAGATCATATGTATTCAAGCCTCTTTTGGAATGGAATACCACCTGATGGTTTGCTGTGTATTCTTAGACCTCATACTCATTTCATTTGTGTCCAGAACCAAGTGATGTGATAAAGCTGTGAAAGATGCAGCAGCTTTTTGAATGGCATTCTTTATGGAAGTGCTTTAGCTGTGTGGCATCCTCAGCTCTCAGTCTGTCAATGAGAGTGAAAAGAACATGAGATGAAATGTGAGCCAAGCCTGTTTGTGTGGGGTTTGGAGGGGGGGGGTGAAGAATGGACAGTAGGAGAGAAAGAGAGACCTCAGGTGGAAGACAGAGCACCATGAATCAACTGAACCCATAAACACATCAGGAGCGAGGCAGCTGCAGGTGTTTCTGTAGTTCAATTATTAGACTTGTACCTACCTAAACATTTTTTTGTTGTTTTTGCCCTCCCTCAGACAAACAGAATGAGGTGGAGATCCCGTCGCCGACATCCAAGACGCGAGAGAAGAAGAAGCAGCAGCTGATGACGCAGATCAGTGGAGTCAAGAAGGTCTCCCATGGGCCCTCGCTCTCCGGCAGCAGCATCTCCCGCTTCGGTGTCAAGACCGACAAGGAGGAGCTGCTGGCCAAGGAGCTGGAGGACCTCAACAAGTGGGGTCTGAACATCTTCACTGTTTCGGAGTACTCCCACAACCGGCCTCTTACCTGCATCATGTATGCCATCTTCCAGGTGTGTGACTGGGATTCCACGTTGCTCCTCGCTTACTCAAATGTTGTTTCATCACTCTAAAAAGAATCCACGGATGATACTCAGTAAATGATGGTGTTGTTTTTTTGTTGTTTTTTCCAGGAGCGAGACCTGTTAAAGACATTTCAGATCCCAGTGGATACGTTTGTGGCCTACATGATGACATTGGAAGATCACTACCATTCAGACGTGGCCTACCATAACAGCCTGCATGCTGCCGACGTAGCCCAGTCCACACACATCCTGCTCTCCACTCCAGCCCTGGATGTAAGTTATTCTATGGAGAGTATTCATATCTGATAATGCAACAAGACCCTGATCTGACATACTTCAACTCTGTAGGAAAAAAAAGTCCACCTCCACCTCTTACTTGGGGCCCCAGTGTGCTTCCACAGAAATTTTACTAAAGTTGAGGAGTGAGCTCTTACATAACCCCATAAGTCCTGCACCGCCACACCCCGGCTCAACATGCTTACTTCTATTGAAACCCCCCCTCCCCCCATTTCCTTGAATGCCAGTCGCTGTTCTAGTAGCTGATGAGACATTCAGGTCAGAACGCCCCAGTCTTCTGATCAGGATTTACTTTTCTTAATGATTGATCTTTTTGTCTACTGGAGCCAGCAGATTCAGTGAAGTTCTACAGAAGGGCAGACGGCCTGTCATTATGGAATAACACAGCGGAATAACAGAATAACAGCAACAACTTAATTTCTTAATAAAAGAAAATAAATATATATTTGTATTTAATTAGATATTACCTGCAACTCTAATCTGGATGCTTGAAAGGTTGCTATGTCTGTTCCACCATACTCTAGTTACTTAGTCAATACTCTTTAATATACTTTTTTCCTTTCTGATGCTTATCTGATGCCATGCAAAATATAATTAGTTTACTGCCTTTTTTAAACTCTCTCTCTCTCTCTCTCTCTCTCTCTCTCTCTCTCTCTCTCTCTCTCTCTCTCTCTCTCTCTCTCTCTCTCTCTCTCTCTCTCTCTCTCATTCACAGGCAGTCTTTACAGATCTTGAGATCTTAGCAGCTATCTTTGCTGCAGCTATCCATGATGTTGACCATCCTGGAGTATCAAACCAATTCTTAATCAACACCAGTAAGTCAAACCACCACTTAACTGTAGTTGAGTACTGTTTAGTAAGTGCTGTGTATATTTCTGGCCTTTTTGATCTTCTTCAAAAAAATAATAATAATGTCACGACGAAGACATACATTTAAAAAATCTATTTTTAATGGCTCTGCAGACTCTGAGCTGGCGCTGATGTACAACGACGAGTCTGTGCTGGAGAACCATCACTTAGCTGTGGGATTCAAGCTACTGCAGGAAGACAACTGTGATATCTTCCAGAACCTCACGAAGAAGCAGCGGCAGTCCCTCCGCAAGATGGCCATCGACATGGTAGGATATCCTGACTCATATTCTTTGCTCCTCTAATGTTCTCTTCATTTAAATCACAACACGTCCAAATTATCCTGATTCTTAAGATGGGTTTTTTTCTTCTGTTTGTCTTTTCAGGTTTTGGCCACTGACATGTCCAAACACATGAGCCTGCTGGCTGATCTGAAGACCATGGTGGAGACCAAGAAAGTGACGAGCTCTGGAGTGCTCCTGCTGGACAATTACACCGACAGGATACAGGTAGGTGTTGGTTTTTGAAAAACAACCTCTATAAAAAAGCCCTCAACATAAAACACAACATCAACAATACAGTATTTATATTAGATGTGCCCTTGGTTTGGGATTGGGACATACTGTAAGCCCTCCAACTCTCTTGCCCCAGCTTTTTATAGCTCTGATCAATAGACAGTGTTGGCAGAGGTTGCTCAGGAAATGGCCATTAGCTGGCCTCCTGCATAGCCGACCTTTGTTCCCCACTGTCAATCCGGTTTGCACTCCTTCCATCTTTTTTGTTGGTGTTCCCTCTGCACCTCCCCTCTAATGGTATTTTTTTTTTGTTTTATCAGACTTTTGTGTGGTGGGATATGATGTGTTTACAATAAGAAAGATCTCTCTAAAATGATAATCAAAGCCGTTTTTCTCATCAGCCAATTTTCCCTTTTCACCTGTAAATAAACACTGATACATTTAGAGATTTCTTGGGAAAACCACCCAGGTGATGTCAGCCTTCCATAAACTTACACTCTGTTTTATTTGCAGGTGCTGCGTAACATGGTGCACTGTGCTGACCTGAGTAACCCGACCAAGTCCCTGGAGCTGTATCGCCAGTGGACTGACCGGATAATGGAGGAATTCTTCCACCAGGGAGACAGGGAGAGGGAGAGGGGAATGGAGATCAGCCCCATGTGTGATAAACACACAGCATCAGTTGAGAAGAGCCAGGTAGGCAACAAAGGGCATGGAAAGAAATACGTGGCTTATTATATTAAGAATTTACAGTTCTAAGTTTGCTCCTTACTTATTTGCAGGTGGGTTTCATCGACTACATCGTGCACCCTCTGTGGGAGACGTGGGCCGACCTGGTTCACCCTGACGCCCAGGACATTTTGGACACGCTGGAGGACAACAGGAACTGGTACCAAAGCATGATCCCCCAGAGTCCTTCCCCGCCCTTCTTTGACCAGTGCACGCTCGGACACGGCGGCGGGACCGGAGGGCAGGCGGGCGGGGAAAAGTTTCAGTTTGAGCTCACCTTGGAGGAGGAAGACTTGGATGGAATAGAGAAAGACGGCGAGAGGGAGGAAGACGAAGACGACGACGAAGAGTTAGAAGAGGAGGAGGACAGTTTGGGAGATTCTCGCTCTCCTCCCCCGGACTATTCGGACGGTCAGGAGCTCGAGGAAGGCCGCATGATGGAGCCAGCAATAGAGATCGTGACGCATGAGGCGTCGCCCACAGACACATAGGGCTTCCATCATCACGCTCACGCTTGTGATTTGAAAGTTTTTCGCAAAAGAGGGTAGATCCTCTTGCAGCTGTGCTTTTTAACAAGCCAATAGAAGCAAGGGCTTAGTTAGGTCCCGAACGGGGGCGTCTTGCACTTGGGTGTTAGAAGCTAGACACGGACGGACAGTTTCGGTGAGGCGGCTTCAGAGTTCTCAGGAAATAATACTGCGAACAATTTAGTCTTGACAGGCGAGACTAAGGGTGGAACTTGAAGGATTTTGGCCAGTTTAGAAGATGGTTACTTTTCTTTTCTGGACTGGCATTAAATGGACATTGACACTACTGAGAGAAGTTTTGTACCTTAAGGCTTTTTTACATATATGATATGATCTAGAGGTAGCATAGATAAGACCTACTGATGGGGACACATTTGTATAGCAAGAGGAAGTGTTTACTTTTTTTCTGTACCATTTGTCAAAGGACTTTCGTGTGCCTTTTTTACTATTGTCTTTATAATAGTTTTTTATTTATTGAACACTCTAGTATGTCTGTGAAATGTCTTTTTTTTTCTTATTTGAAAGAGCAAAATCTTTTTTGTAAGTTAAAAAGAGAACAGTCTTCCACGTATTGGGCAATAGAGAAATCCAAACGAACGTCGACAAACAACTCTTGGACAAATTTATCGGAATAGAGAAAACTAAACAAACAAACAACTATATGCACATTTTGCCACATCTGTTTTTCGAGCACAATGTTTTACATAAGGATTTGAAATGCTTATGTTCACTCATGGTCCATGTTACATGTTGCTTTCAGTTTCAGATGTCCGTCAGTGACGGTTCCACTGAAATGCATCACATACTTTCCCACGCCACCTCTTTGCACATCACTTTTTCTCTCTTTCATTGGTCAAAGGTCTGAAGCCTTTTTGAGGCTTCCTATCTGTCACAGTAAAATTCGGCTCAACTGTGGATATGTAATCCTGGACTTACTGTATGGTCAGACGTTCCCTCTAGAATTCAGTGTAAAATCATTGGGACATTCGATATATATACAATTTGTACAATAAGTTATTCAATTTCAAACCCTGATAACCTAATTCATACCAGATACAATCAGCATAACTATAAAATGCCCAAATCTGGGATGAAGTCTGCCAAGGGAAAAATGCACACCAGTGCTGAATCTATTTTTATCCTATAGGTGTGCTGCAGTCTCAATAATCCTGTTATATGGAACACAAGTCCTGACCCAGGATCCGTCTGATGTAAAGCCCTTACTGCCCCTCTGCAATCAGGCCAGATGATTAAAGGTCCTCTTACAGATGCCTGTCTCAAAGGCGCTCCCAGACCCTCATCAGCACCACCATTCACACGGTTTACAACCCTTCTGCGGTCCACCTAGGGGACCCATCTCAAAACAATCAGGCCAGCTATTTTGTCCCCACCAAAAAAAAAAAATCCCTTGAGTGCTGCCTCAGCTCATTGACGTCAATTTTATTTTCTCCCCTCCCCCTCGACCGTATTCGTTTTCGAGGACAGTCGGGTTATTAGGAAGTGGTGGAATTGCTGGATTCGGCGTGGCAGACTGTAGGAGAAAAAAAGAGGAATAATTAGGTGCTCTCGTTTTAAATCAAACAAAATAAGATCTATTACTAGTGCTGAAAAATGATGTGCAGACCTCACATTTACACAACTATTTTTTAGGGATGATTTAGTTGCATCTATAATCACATCTCTCCATTTTCATATTGGTTTACTGATATACTCAAAGGTACTTCATCTAATTTCACTCCAGCATGCTTAAGTGGCAATCGTTTGTGTGCAGCATGTATGTATGGGAGGTTTTGTATTGGTGTGTGTGTTTGGATGTGTTGACTTTGTCATCGAGCCTTACCCCCATCACTCCACTGTCTCTACTACTGTTTGTTGCTAGGAGCTCAAGTTGGTCCTTTTTGCTGTTTATAACAGTGTGTATTTATTCTATACTTTAAGTTTAAGTGTAAATAAGAAGTACTGGCTCAGTGTAAAATCTATTTTAATTTATATGCACTTACATTACCCGGAAGTGGTGGTGTCTAATGCATAGAAGGCTCTGGATTAGAGTCTTTTTATATATGTAATATATATTGTTTGTATATATATACACTTATATATATATATATATATATATACGCTTATATATATATTTATATATATATATATATATATATATATATAAATATATAAATAAATATATCTAAGTATATATCCGCACAATGTTTTGAATGCCCAGCAGAGCAGCAGCTAAAGAAAGGTGTTGTTGTTGTTGTCACATTAGAATCTTGTAACTCCAAAACAGCCTTTCTTATTTTTAATTTAAAAACAGTATTTTCAGCTTATTATGCAAGAATATTAAACCAAAAATGATCTCACATCTTGATTAATATCCCACATTCTCTTTGGCATTTTGGAAAATATAAGTTTCTGTCCATTTCAGCTTACACTTCTTAGTTAATTGCCAGGAATTTAGACATTTTTAAGACATGGAATGTAGTCATTTTGTTTCTTTGATTAAAAAAAATCATATGGAAGACTATTTTGGTTTAACAGAATTTTTGAAGCTACAAGATTTCCATCGAACAGCAGCAATTTGGTAACCCAGAGGCAACATAGATGACATGTTAAACTGCATAGGCTTGGATATTGGTTACATGCAAGCAAGCTAAGGAACACAGAAGCGTATCAATGCTTGGTATCAAAGTTCACAAATGGCGTTTTCTCTCTCAGAGGCTTGTCACAACCTAAACTCCATCCAGCATTCGAATGCAGATTGCTGATAAATGAGGTTTGACGGATGAACACAAAAGCACTCCTTTTACACCTAAAGCACTTCATGTGAAAGTAGATAACACAGGGACGGTATTGGTAGCATGCTACAATACGCCTGGCACCGACGTGAATCGTTCTGAATTTAACAACTAAACATGATCGTACGTAACTGATTGTGCTAATGTGTGAAGTCTTTCTGACCAAACTTGGTTAGCAGTTTTGAAATTCAAATGTGTCAGTATTAACAATGTTTATCTATGTTAAAGCTTTTTTGGTCCTAGTTGTGTCCAAATGGTTAGCCAGATTTAGCACTATCTGCATGAGAAATGTTTTTTTATTTTTACTGTCAATAATATATGTTTAAGTCTGCCAGTTGGTGGATTATTAAATGTTTCACACAATGTTTGGTATTTTATTGTATATTGTGTTCAAAAATGAATCTGAAATACTTTTTCTATTAAGTCATTAAAGTAAAGCATGAAAATATTGCTTCTGTTTCTGCTTTTTTTTCTGACCCTCATAGCCCAAATTACTAAGTATAAATTACTGCAGTCAATTTACAGCAGGATTTCAACATTAATAACCATTTAAGTTTAAATAGATACAAAATAAACTTTAAATTACACTCACTGAGGAAAAATAAGGTTTTCCTAAAATGCAACACTTTATTTCTACGGTCAGGAGTATTTAAGCAACTAGAGTATCATGCAGTATATTCTGGAATGTGTGTGAGGGGTCAGGACTGCAGAGCAATAAGTCAACGAACAAAAACTTCTTTCCAGGTTTGGAACTTTAACTTGCAGAATCAATGGTACGAGACAAACAAAAAGGCAACACAGGCACAAGCGGACTTGCTCTCGAGGGTAAAAAAAAAAAAGGAAAAGGGCCTGGCAATAAACAACAGGACAACCACAAACAAACAATGGGAGGACTTGACTACAGACAAGCAACTCAGGGTCGGACAAAATATACCCTAACACGGACGAGTGGGGGGAGGGACTGGGCCTTAAATACAGGTGAAGGTAATTGCAAACTAAACTCAGCTGTGGGGGGAAACAAAGGACAAGAAACTAAAGACAGGAAGTGCAGTGGTTACAAGAATAAAACAGGAAGTTAGTCTTCTCTGTCTCTTCGAGTCGTCACAATGTGAAACTGGAAAATATCTGTTCTTTTTTTGCATTACTGAATATGTCCATGTCATGATGGAAGGATTCAGCAGTTAGAAGGAATTTCATAGAGTATTGCCTTTTATTCAGACAACAAAAGGAGCTCATTTTAATATCCGCATACTATGTGGACACTTGTATTTTGCCAGTGAATTATTAAAGCATAATAATGTCTTCAGACTGTAAACCTTCACTTCACGCAATGGAGTTGCATTCAACCTTTTGTGCAAATGGCTTATGGCTCATTTTAGGCAAAGTAATTGAATAGCCTTCCAACGCTTTTGAATGTTATATTCTGAAGAAATATATAAAGATTATACAGAAACAAGCAGAACTGGAGACATCCCTTATTGCTTCCTTTGTGACCAAAAGCACCTCCCGACTGTTCTAAACCAGGTGACTTAGTTGTTGGCTTCAAACCCCACAGCCAAACAAGATGCACTAAGGTAAGTTCAAATTCAGATCTAACTGTGGCAGGAGAGCAAAGGCCATTTTTAAATGCATTGTTGCCATTGCAAGCTTTGTAGCTATGGATGTGGTTGCGGGCTCATATTCCTCGAAAGTCACTTGGCGCAAAAGATGACTGCAGAGTAATATAATTACCCTGATCTTTCGACAATCTTCTGCAGCCCATCAAGCAAACGCACTATTTTACCTTTCCTCTAACGCTGACTCCAAGCCCTCAGTCTCAGGCTTATTCTGGCTCATTCATGCCAACAGCGTCAGGACATAATTTGATTTAGCAGAGGAGCAACGCAATTTACAGCGTTACAAGCTTGTGTTGTCACTAAATGAGTATATTACTATATCCCAATTATAATTCATCTTGGGTTCCTTCTCTAAAATAGTGGCTATTTGTAAACTGCTGTTTCAAAGGAATCATTAAACTTAATCTAAAAAAATCTTAATGGCTCAGATACCAGGCTTGTGTCATTTCCATATCTAATTTATTCATTTTTCTAATTTGAAGAGTTCAGAGGCTGTCTGCCCTTGAAGTCACCCTGATGTAAAAGAGCCTTGTGAGTGTAAAGTTATTGTCTTATTCTTTCTTTTTTGGCCCTCTCATTTGATATTCTTAACTTTTTTACCTTTTCCTCTGAAATATTTCAAACATCTCCGTTTCCCTCCATCTCTATGTCCTTTTCTACGTCTCTGCTCATCTTGCCTCTGACCTAACCTTGTAAAAGCAGAAGATTTAATTGGATAAAACTACTTGCGTGCATATGACGACAGTAGAAAGATGGAAGACGTAGACAGAGAGAGAGAGAGGCTGCTATATGGGACGGGTGGCCTCCCCTGTCGCTCCTTTACAGAGGCACGTAGGTCCACGGGGATGTCTAAGTTATCCAATGAAACTAAAAACAGAACAAAGCCTTCCCCCCAACTCAAGGAAAAGGACACGAGTTAACGCTTCCCATGTGTGACACAGAGCAGATTTGGGACATTTTCAGTCAAGCAAAGGCAATGGTTAGCTTGGGGGCTTGTGTGTTTTATGCTTTTGATGTCAAGTTGTTAAGTGTGCAGACTAAGAAAGGTCCTGAATCAACCTCCATAAGGTGACACCTTGCACTGATTTTCTAACTTGAGGGTTTAAATTGAGGAATCCAAAGAAAAGTGAGAGGCCACACTAGCCAACATGTAATCTTCAGTAGCCAATTGTTATCTGTGTAGGTTTAGTGTAAAATCTTTCATTACTTTTTGACAGAAATGGTTATTCATTCTCTCTTTGAATGCACATTATGCGGCTCTAGCTTTTGCGTCTTTGGAGTAGTTGTGCTGCTGCTCCCGGAGGAATACAGTATTAGAAATGACAAACTTTTTAAATTTGCATTAGTAGTTACTAAGCTGTCTCAGGAGCAAAATATTGTTATTCATTTTTAAACTGAGAACGTATGTGGTGATGAGTAACACATAAAATAAGTTGAAACATGGCGGCCCTTGGTCCATACAAGCTGCATCGAGTAAGTCTGTCTTGTGATGGGTATTTGTGGCTATTTATATCCCTTTGGCCAATTACAGTATACGTGATGAAGAGCCTGACGGAGCAGAGAATCACCATTGACAGGCTGTTTAAAGAACCATGGCCTCATCTTTATTGCGAAAGCAGGGTTTTCCCTTTCTCCTGCTTCTTCCACAGCTGTGTCACTAAGCCCGTTGGTACCAATACTCTAAACTGCAAAAGTCATATGTTGCTCTCACGCACCCTTCCCAAACCATAAAGGTCTGCGGCACGTGAGAACCATCCGTTGACTTGCGATGACACACATGCATGTGTCTTTCACTTATTCTCATAATCTCCTGTAATTCACAACAGTTATTTTCAATAAAAACACACATGGCAGCTACAGGGACTGAACCGTGGTGATGTTGTTTGAGAACACATCATGAATGACATGTATGATGGTTTTTACAACCAAATAAAGCAGTCAACAGAATAACTACTGAATTGCAATATGCAACCTAAACCTATACATTTCAAACCTCAGGACGTAATTTTTACATTTAGCTGCTCTGATGAAAACGTGTGTTGGAAGCATATTAAGTGAAGAATTGTTGTTGGCATTTCATTGCTCAAATTATTTATGATGTCATGAGAATAAAAATACCAAAAAGTGTCATGCGGTCGGCTGGTCAGTCCAGCAGCTCCTCTGTGTTTCCCTTTCTTGTTGCCTTTCTTTCTTGTTCTACCCTGTCTGTCAGCAAGGAGGTGTGGACATCTCCTGCTCATCCTGTGAGGTGGTTGCTGCAACTACTGGCATCAATCGGTCATCAGGGGACTATATACTCTATATTGACCCGGGTCTTTCTGCCATTCATCGCCACATCGTTTCATCGCCATAGTAGCAGCACTGAGGCCGTTTTGTGACACATTTGCATTAGACTCGGTTCTTGCTCACCTTGCTCCTTTTTTTGCCCGAGTGTTTGGAATCCCTATCTGCCAGTTGCCTCAGATATCGGTTACCTGCCTGCTCACTCTCAGACGTCACTACCCGGACTCAACCAACCAAAACATCTTGGACGACGCTTGTGCCAATGTTGGGTCAATACTGGATGCAGGACAGAGCATGAAGTGGAAGACGTAAGGTAGAAACAGCAGTAAGTAAAAGACCCCACTCAAAAAGACAAATGGAAAACAAAATAAAAAAACAAATGGATCTTGGAGACTTTGATGTTAAAGATTGTACCTGTTTAAAATAGAATCGGGCAAAAGCCATTACATACATGTGCGGAGTGAGGATATAAGAGCAAGAGAGAGAGAGAGAGGGAGAGAGAGAGAGGGAGAGAGAAGATGAGGAGAACAGGAGAGGCAGTGAGGTGGGATTGTGACAGTGTTTTTCACATCCTATCACAGGGATGACCAAGTTGCCTCTGTCAAACAGGTTGTCATGGCAACTGTGGTTGAGAAGAATACTGAGAAACACTCTCAAGGCATTTCCCTATGGGATAATATTACCACAGTCACATGCAGGCAACATCTTGTACAGCAGACAAAGATACTCTGTCACGTAGACACACTCAGACACACAATTTCAAATGTAGAAACATTTAAAAATGGATGCTTTCAATAGTACGAAGCAATTCAAATGTGGATATTGATAATTATGTCATCATTATTGTCATTTTTTTCTTTGTTATCTATAAGACACAAGAAAAAGAACTTTGGTGTCTCATTAAAAACATGTGGAAATCATGTTTCAACAGCAAGGTTTTGTCAAAATTATGTGATTTAAAGCCAGTATATCAGTGTATACAGTTTCTTAAAATAAAGGTTTGATTTCTGTTTCCTTTTTTCTATACAGGTAATCAACTGCAAATAATTTGTAACTGTGGAGTATGTATCTGTGTCTGTAGAGAATTCTTTCTTAAATCCAGAAATGTATTCTGTATAAGGGTTATGACAAGTTTTGTCATATTACATCAGAAAGATACTGACATTCTGTCAATACCAAGGTTAACATAGTGACAAAGGCTATCTGCATTAAACCAGCTGATTCAACATCAGCTCCTTTAATGACACTTTTTTGTGGGTTACTTTTTATTCAAATAAAACATTATATGAAGTGTTTCAAATGTATTTTATTAAATATATTAACGTTAGCTTTGTGGATGCATGCGTAGAGCGGGTAACCGTTATTATTATGTCACTTCCGGAGTCCATCTTCATTGGTTGAGCAAATCAGTCACACCCTTTGGATCCAATTTTAAAAGAGTCTTAATTTAGCAGAAGACGGAATATCGTTGGCTTTACCTGAATATAATTGAAGAATCAAAACGTTGTCAAACAGCGGTAAGAGTAATTATTATGTTTTGCGGAAAAACAAACCTAACGTTAAAAGTGTAGTTAACGTTAGGTTAAGATAGCTCCGTCACTGAAATACTGTATCAAATATCAATATAACGTTTTTCGTAAATGTGCTAACGTTAAATACCACTGTGAGCTACTGACTTTATGCTAGACGGGGCCCTGATTTAAAACTATTTGAGTCATTTTACTTCACAGTAATTCAACTGGTGTACAAGGCTTGTTTTGTGTTGATTCATTTAGCTGTACTTGTGGGCAGGTGTTGGCTAATTTAGCTCCGTTAACTCACACATACAGCAGTGATGTGGATGAGGTGGTGCAGCGCTGTGGCTGTACTCGGGCAATGTCCGAGGTTTCAAAAAATGTTTATTTTTTTAGTTAGTGGTCTAAGCTAACCGTAAACATAAATGACTGTAACGTAAGTGGGGGTCGTCGCGGCGCAGTGGTAGAGCGGGTGCGCTGGGAACCGCAAGGTTGGTGGTTTGAGTCCCTGCTGCCCCATGTCTCAAGTTGAAGTGTTCCTGAGCAAGACACCTAACCCCTAATTGCTCCCCGGGCAAAATGTAAAAAAGCCTTGGGGTTAAAGTGTAATGTAAGTCGCTTTGGATACAGGCGTCAGCTAAATGACCTGTAATGTAATGTAATATTAGATTAAATACGGCTTCCCAGTGAGCACTAGACGTAATTTCAACGTTGAAATTGGGTTGAAATGAGGTCTGAATGTCTAAGACCTCATTTCACCTCTTTTCAACAGGCTAAAATGTGGATGAAACAAAAAAAAATGTTGATGTGTCATGTTGTAATGTAACGTTATGTATAGTGTTGTTATATTATAAATACAAATTAATATAAAATAATGTGTTTGTCCTTGTTAAGGGCCGTTAACATGACAACTGTGACCAAGTATGTAGCCTGTAAGTTTCCAGCGAGCAAGAGACGTTTCAAATGGCTTAAAAGTTCGGTAAGACGTTCACGTATAGACCCGTTTTCAACGTGATTTTTAATATCGCTGGTAAACTTGTAAACATGTGGACATTGTTTCTTTTTAAACCTCTAAAATAAGTGTTTGGTATTAGTATTCCCACAACTGTGGAGATCCCGAGGTTTACATCTTGGAAATGAAGCTGGCACATCTTTGATAACTTTGTTATAATTGAAAACTGTGGTTAACCCCAAATCTTGCTGTGTTGCCACTTCATCAGAACTCAGAGGTTGGGTGGTGTGCTGTTGGGGAAATTATGTTAAAACGCATTTCTCTTTGACCAATTTTAAAAGAGAAGGTAAAGGTAATTATTTATTATCTTTCCGATCATGGACTCTGATCCATCTTCTGTTTTTTTAAATTAAAACTCAAGTCAGGAGTTTTGGGTTAACATGTCCCCCCCATTAGTCAGGGCCTCAATATATGGAACTCTTCCCAGAAACACACAACTGTGTTCCAGTCAATTCATTTAGTTTGATTGGCAAAGCTCAATGCATCATGAGGTTGGAATAATTACCAGATGTTTGTTAAATGAATAATCAGTTTGATTAATTATAATAAGTACGCCTTCTATGAAATGTGGCACAGATGCCTGGGGACGGTTGGGTCTCACCAAAGTTGAAGTTGAAGCAAACCTGGGTGGTTGCATGTGATGATTCACATGGAACTACACTTGAGTTGTGACCGTTTTTCATTGCAACATTTCCATCATGTACCAGCGCAGTTCAATGTGGACAACATGCTTGTTTTAATTTATGATAGCACATTTAGCTAAAACACGTGTGTGTTGTTGCATTCACTCGATCAGATACTGTTGGAGAACATTTGACACAACTTTGGTGTAATTTTAAACAACAGTGGTCGGAAAATACAGTCCCATGACTATTTGGACATTGCAGCAGTATTTCTGGGCTGAAATTATTTATTTTCTTTATTCTGGCCATTGAGATCTCTAACCGAAATCCTAAGGCCTCCTTTTATGCAAAAATACATTACATACAATAAATCAGTTATTCTTGAGGTAATATGAGGCTTACACGTTCTGAGTTTGAGTTGCCCTGCTGTGTTTTAGTACAAATTTACTCGTGACAATACTTTGAAGACAAACTTTGAATGCCTGTTTTAAAACGGTACGGCACACTGAAACATGTTTGCTTAAAACTAAAATATATTAGCGATATAACACACACGTTTTAGCGTTAACATTCTGGACACAATCTATCAATATCTGCATTTATTTTGTGTAAAGTGGCTCAAAACGTGATCTGCTTTGTAAATTCAGCCCTGGACCGTGACAGGCCAACGCTGACATAGTCTGCTGGTTGAGACTCATCTGAAATTTGGTCACCCAGCAACACGCATCCACTATGCCCCAAATCTCCCCTGAATGTTTGAGCAAATACAAATGCAAGTATTTGTAAGAATCTATCCTCAGCCCCCTCGCGTGTTGTTCATGCTGTTGGAGACTGTGTGAGTCATTCATGCTGCTTGTTTTGACTCGGATTGTTCATGGGGGAAGCCTACCATGTGCTAACGTGGAGGAGTATCCGTCATTCAGGCCTGTCTGCATCATCAGGAAAACCAAAAAATGGCCAGTCAACCCTTTTATGTTCAATATGTGAGTTTGTTTAAGTATCCAGTTGGCCCGTTATCTGGTCAGTGTGAAGAAAATCAAATCTTATAGGCATTCCGAGGTGTTTTGAACTGCGTTTCCTTGAGAGCAGAGGAAGCTGACAGCTTAAACTCCATATCAGTCAGTCAAGTTCTAGTACCTTTATGGCTCGGTCAGATGATTCATTTTTAGGGGTTTAGTCTAATCATATTGTTGTTTTTTGTGTTGCAGCTCACAAATGGATATAACTAGCTGAAGGTCCACAACGAACAGGGCAGAACATCTTGGGACCACGATTCCCTTCAGCGTGTATCAATATTCTAGTTTTCACTCTGAGGTAGGTGTGACAAGAAAATAAATATGTAGTTTGCAAATGTAAAAAACAAAACCCGAATAAAGGTGCTGTCGGCTATCTTTGTGTCTGTCGGCACCATTAATGTTGCTGATTTTAAGGCAGGGAGTGCACCGGAAGCGTGTGAGGGATTTGGTGAGCAGCATGTACGTGGGTGAGCTGCAGCTTTCTGTGACGGGAAGGAAATACATGCTTTTTTACGACACTGAGGAGATAGTGTGGATTAAGTCAGCAATGAGTTACAAAGGGCCAGAAACAGGCACCTTGCTATCAGAGTTTGCGGTTGGACGTATATTTGTATATTATTTCCGGCAAGGTGGGAAGGTCTTTGATGAGTCCGCTACAATATTTTGTGTGTGTACATATGTGCGCCTGCCCTAACATACACCTACTCCCATTGGATTCTCTTAGTGCACCTCAAAGCAGCGCAGACCAGGAGGCCACATTGCAGTCTATACATGTGTATATACATGGACCTCAATGTGGCAGAAGAAAAGCTATTGCAATGATACATGTACTATACAACTAATTATTATTTTTAATGAATGTGTTGTGTTAGAGTTCAGAGGCACCAGTATATAAAGAGTGGCAATGGAATCTAAAATTCACTATTTTGGGGTTACAATAGGAGTATTTGCATATTTCCCATAACCGTAACTTGCTAATTATATTCATCTTAAGTGAGGGACTTGGAAATTACAGTGTAACCATGTCAAAAATATGCTTGACAATTTATTGTCTACTTCAAGGATTACTCTTTTCCACATTCCATTACACTCACTTATGCAAAAACCCTTTTTTTCTGCCTCGGAAGGTTTCCTGTTGCTGATCCTCTACCCTCCTGACTCAGCGGGTGTGATGTATGTACAAATTGTACCTGCCCTTCTTTGGATTCACAACATTTAGTTGCCTTAAAGAGAGGGAGAACAGTAACTGTGGACTTTCTGGAACTGGTAAACCTTTGTGAACCACAGTATGACCACCTCCACATCCTCCAACATGACTTGAATGTGCCTCATGAGCTTCTACATTATGTCAGAGGCAGCTTCATTGTTCCCACGGCTTTCAGAGCAGATCTTAAAAATCAACGCCACTATTTTAAGATGCCTCATGAATTATGGGTCCAGTATTGCATGCGTCATTGGGAGGCCTATCTGGTCTCCTACTGGCACGTCATAGCGCGCGCACACACACAAAACCTATATTAGCAACATCCTCGTGGGTGTCCAGCCAACCACGAGCGAGGCAGTAAGCAAGTTATTTTCCAAAACAAACTCCCCTAAGGGGTTTTCTGTTCCCAGCTTAGCTTTAAGCAGAGTTGTTGTTGAGTTACATCTTTTCTTTTTGGTGTTTATAGGATAAATCTAATCAAACCGTCCCCCCAAGAATATAATATAATATGATAAAAATGTCCATGCATTGAAAAGTTGTATTTGAATTACCCTAAAAAGCCATTTGACACCGTTGATCTCATGCCTGTGCTATTTGTGTTGTCTTTAGAATACTGCTTTGAAACTCCCTGCAGTGAGTTCATCTGGCTCCATCATCTCAGCCATGCTGTCCCAGCCAAAGCTGGTACTCTTGGGAATGGCCTAATTTAAACTTCTCCACTGTTTATAGATCTAAGCTGATTGTATAGAAAGTTAGGGCTCCATTTATTTAGGCTGGGACCTGTGTGGAAATGGTAATTGATGTGAGTAAGAGGGACTTATTGAACGTGATGACATCCTGGAGATCATTAGGGAAACCACAAACCAGACGGGCAAAGTATCAGAGGGATGAGCTCATCTTTTCCATTCCCTGAAGGACCTTTTTTTGTGGTTTTTTTTGTGTGTTTTTTTTTTTTTTTTTTTTACAGGGTTGGCCTCTGGACTGGGTTATGGGATCAGAGATGAGTCCAGCTTGACTATTTGTTGTTTAACAGGTGCTACAGGGCAGGGACAAAGTAGAACATGTGAATATAGTCCTACGAAAATTATTTCAGGTTGATTGATTGGCTGGTACAAAGTCTCACTGAATCTCTTCCAATGTGACCTATATGGTGTGCTACTGCAAACCCTTAATAACTAACTGAGCCCCGGCTCCTGCCTGATCTAGCGCCTGAAGTACAACACAGCAGGACTATTTGCCCCAATAGTTCCTTCTCTTGCTCATGAACATGAAGTTTTGAATCAAAATAATGTACCCAGTGGAGTAAATCCAAATCCAGCCTCCTCCGCTGCATCAAGTAACTAGGAAGTGTGCTAATTACAGGGAGAACCTTGATGCTTGATGTAGTGCGTGTCTGCCCTCCCCACCCCCCCTCCGGGGCAGTGCAGCTACTAGGGTAATAACAGAGAGCAGTGTGTCTGCTACTGACGGAGTATAATGAGTGGCTGGATGGCACGTAGGCTCTCCACATGGCACCCTGCCACCACCACTCCTTATCGGCCTGCATGAATTCCCCCGTCGCTGGGCGCAGAATGACTTGTTATTAGTTTGACTTGCACTCACCACCGGCTATTCTGTGGGTGGCTGTTTGTGTACATTTAATGACTGCTGCTCAATCAGCGTCCCTCATCAAGGCACTTTGGGGGTGGAGACAATGGGTCCCGGGTGGGGTTTGCAGAGACGTTGCTTCACCAGTGTGCAGGAAATCGGTATGAAGTGCTTGGACATGGGACGTGACAACTGCAGCATGAGACGAGGGACGTCCCAATATAGAGCTGAATGTCTACTCCGAGCCGAGATGTCAACTCCTTCACTGTGTCCGTATAGCTCAAGGTTAGGAGTCATATGTAAGGGTTAAGTTGACAAATAAAACAGTTGGGCATCAATTAAAAAAAGGTGTCTAAGTCAATAACATGTTTACTTCTAGCTGGTGTGCTGGCTAGCTGATGATTTGATAGGAAGAGAAACATCGCCTCTCTCTTCCTGGTGGCCTGATGCACATCACTGCATGCTTTCCCTGCTCCTCAGTGCAGTTAAGCTGAAGAGTTGGGGGTCCAACTTGTTTTGTCTGGCCTTGAGCCCGAAAACGCAGTTTTCATGTGGGGAATTTTGACACAAAACGTTTGATATTTTACAAAAAGTTTGATTAATTAAACATGTCTCAGTCAGTCAGTAAGGCAGTCATGCTCTTGGCTGCTTATACACGTGAACTGGGGGGGCGAGTCAATCACAGGACTGACCGAGACAAACAACTACTCACTCTAACATTCACACGCCTACAGGAAATTTAGAATCACCAATTAATCTAACCCCTAGAGCATGTACCCAAGAGAATATCTTTGGACTGTGGGAGGAAGCCGGAGATCCCGGAAAGAACCCACGCAGACACTGGGGGAGCATGCAAACTCCCCGCAGAAAGAACGCTGGGTGCTCACCACCGTTTAGACAAATCAACCAGATAAATCTATTGATTAATAGAATGTAAGCGGAAACTGGTGCAAAGAATTTGCTGTATTTATGTAGAAACTGAGGAAGGAATAATGGACGCATTCCATAAATTTAGTGGCATCCCTCCCAGTGGTTCTTCATTTGCCAGATAATAACTGCAGTATGCCGCTGGATGCATTGCTGCATCGCTGCATTGACGCAATGGCAGAGTGATGACCCATTTGAGTTTGTGTTTCTGCTGGTGTTCTGGACCTGCGAACAGATGCGGGAAAACATTACGGGAAGAATTACCAGCATGGAGCAACACTGCAGCCCATAGGCGAAAGGCATGAGCAGGGTGGGAGAGGGAACAAGAGAGGTGGAATGGAAAGGAACAGAGAACTATTTGATAGCGGATACAGAACAGTAGATGGCGCCAACAGCATGTCATTTTGGAGTTCTTGTTGGAAAATGTTAGAAACTCATTTCTGTTCCAGTACACCTATAGTTGCCCCGTTTTCAAATGTAGGTATCGTAGGGTACATGCAGGTAAGTATAACCTCTTGACAAGTCAGTACAGTATAGCAACCCCTTGGGAATGAGAACGTATATTGTCAGCAAACCCCAAAATAAGTGATATAGGTAACTTTTCTCTGGGGGGGTTATTGTGTATGGATTTTTACTATAAGTACAGTTGGCTGCATACACTACATGCAACATATGCCATTCAATTATCTGTTGACCTTAATGATATTTTATAGATCTAACATTTGCGTTTGCATGGTTAGTGTGTACAGTACTGTCAATTAGATAGAACGAGAGATAACACATAATGGGGCAAAGGGCGACCCAAGAAACTAAATTTAACCTTCTTTATCAACTATATGTAACAAGATTCACTTAAAACAATGGCTGAACATAACCTAATGTTTCTTGGATGTTAACTTTGTTTGTATGTTGAAAGTTTAATAATTCAAGAAATATTCCCTGAAATCTTTTAAGCATCATTTGGGTATTTTTTGGATCGATTTATAAAGTATAATTGATATAGCTAGTATAAAGCTAAATCATATCTATCACAATATGTACATTTCCCCCCCTTAAAGTTTAATGTTTTTTGCATTTTAAGGTGCTTTTGCATTTATTTTGTAGTACTTTTGAATATTATGGATTTCTGCAATTTGGAAAGAATTGGAGTGCATAGGTACACATGTTTTCCTAAAGAGAATTGCATTAAACCTCATTAATGTGGTTGTGTCTCTCTCTCCCTCTTGCATGTAGAAAATGCCCTCTTACCCACAGTACCGTAGTGAGGGTGAGGGTCTAACTGTCCCAATCCTTTGCATAGGAAACTACATAAATGTGTCTTTATTCAGGCTGCTCCCAAACAGAGCTTATAGGGCATTAGGCTTTATATAGCAAATCCCCTCCCACCCTCCCCCTTTATTCTACACTAGCTGGCATCATGTGGCATGGCAGCATCTGTCAGCAGCAGAATCAATACACAGATGGTCAAATATCAGCCAAGTTGCCACAGACCAGATCTGACTCACGCCCAGGACCGTATATTGATGGTATTACAGTTCACTGAGCAAATGTCTGCAATATATTAACTTGAGACCAGCACAACGGTAAATATATTTTCTGATTCTCAGTGAACACCAGACGGCAGTGCAGGAGCAGATGCTTGTTGTCTCACAGCCCAGGGACTGAGTAGGCGTGAGACACGATAATGTAGAAGAATGTAAGGGAGGAAAAGGGATGTTAGATATGTGGAGGGAACAAATAATATTAGTTAGATAAGGAGACAAAAATAATCCAAAAGGGCAGAGTGTTGGGAAGTCACAAGATACCACTTTGGAGTGACGGGGGAGAGGCATGGACAAAGAGGAAGGGAGTTAAAGCAGCAGGCAGGGTGGGAGGTTGGGGTTCCCTCTCTTTTAGGAGCATCTTGCTGAGTGCTAAAACCCGAGGTGCTGGCCCAAGGAAAGACTGAGGGGTGAAAGGAGGGAGGAGGCAAGTGACCGAATGAGTCACGTAGAGGTAGCTTGACAAAACAAAGAAATCTAAAAAGAAATTGTCACTTGAACTCAGAAGAAGTGATGAATGAGAAAAACAGAGATTTGGAGGGAAGTTGCCATCACATGGTGTTGAGCAGAAATGTGAGGATTCATTGAGCATGGAGAATCACACGGCTGGCTTTTCTTAAAGCATGACTGCAGATGCTGAGTGCTGGGCTTTCATAGGAATGTTTACCCAACTTTTTGCACAAGCATGCCTACGAATATTGATACCGTAGTGAGGCCTCCACAGTCTCCCCCTTTATAAGAAAGGAAAAGAGTGTCAGTGATGAAAAGTCAGTTCTCTCAATATGGCTGTTTGCTGATTTCGTTGTACTTTGAATAAAAAGAGTTCCTCGAGATGGAGTTCCTAAAAAAAGGAATAGCCCCACAACATTCCAAAATACAAGCCCGATTTTTATTATGTATATAAAATATATATATAATTTGATGATATTTATCATCAAATAATTTATTATTTATACTTATATTTACTAATTGTTTACCTTAAACTTCAGGATCTCTGCCTAACCTCGCAAAAGAAAAAATTCATACAGCAGTTTTATATTTAGATATTGCAAAATGAAAATGGACACTGGTTGTTGTTGAGGTTTTGTAGAACCGTTCGCCTAATTGTCAGTCTCCTCAGCTCTCTAGTTTCTTTACATAAACATTCCCTCCTTCCCTCTCTGCCCCTCGTAGAAAATTAATCAACACACGCACGCATGCGCGCGCACACACACACACACACGAGCGCACACGGCCCTCCGCAGGCTGTTCTGTCATCGGCCCTTCCTGCTCGTTGGTTGCAGTTCAGGCTGCGTTGCCATGACGTCACGCTGATCGATCCTGGCAGTGGGAAGGGACAGAGAAAAATCGGGGGGGGGGACGCACTGGCAAGAGCGCAGGGAAGGTGGGAGGGGGAGAGCGCGAGAGACCACACCTTATTCCAGGGAGGGAACACAGACAGCCGCACAGAAATAGTCACTCTGCAGGGAGGGTACACGTCGAAACATTCTTGTGCGGTGGTGTAAATGTCCTCAGCATGGCTTGTCACTTGGCTCACAGGTTCACGCTCCTTTCTCCTCGAGCAAATACGTAGTGTCATTCACCGCTGAGCAGGCTAATGCTGCACGCATATAAGGTAGGGTGCCATGGAGGAGTGCCGTGTTGTGTGGCTGTGTGTGTTTAGTAGATTTCTCTACCCTCCGCACATGTCCGGTGGCGTCGTCTGAGCCTATTACTTGATGGACAAACATGTTTGTGTATTTAGTTTATGCGCACACGTATTTGTCATGTAAGAGCGGTTACTAATGAAGCGTTGTCTTGATAGCCATGGTGTAAGTAGATTCAAGCTGTAAGCCACGTGACCACGGATAGCTGCAGGGATTGGCTAAGACAATCCCTGACCTCAGCACACTAACTCCGCCTCTCCTCGAAACTACCCCCCCCCCCCCCCGTCAAACAAACACGAACACGCACACAAAACCCTCAGTCTCTGCGCGCCTCGCTCCCTCCCTCTATCTATAGCCTGCCTCTTTTATTAGCTTTTTTTTTTCGAGTAAGCTTTATACACTTCTCAGCATCCTCCGCTGAGTGTGTAGGTTAGAGCTGCAGCACCAGCATCCACGGTTTAAGCCCCAGCTCTGATCGGCAGCTAGCCCAGCCCCTCCTGTCTCCTGTCTCCTCTCTCTCCCTCCCCTCTCCCTCAGTGTCTCTTTCATTTCTGGGCTAGTTGCTAGTTGACAGGCGACGTCTGGGGGTGTCGGAGGCTCACAGTTAGCTAGGGCGTTAGCCACATGCAAACGGCAGCGCTGCTGCCCATCATTTCTATTCTCTGGTAACCGGGGCTTCTTGTCTTCACCCCCTCCCCACGCCTCCTATTTTGATTTCAGGCTCTTTGGAGATAGAGGAATGCAAATCTGCAACCATGATGGAAGGTAAGATGATTTTATTTTATTTCTCCGCTGTTTCTCGTTTTGCTGTTATTCAGGGTAATCCCCCTCCATGTCCTTGTCCTGCAGTGCTTCAGCCACTGGCAAGCGTTTGTGTCTTTGGGAGGTTCAAATGGCATAAGCTGCCCTGCTATTTTAAGTGCATGCATTCTGGTGACTTGCATGTTATTCTTAGCAAAAGGCCACAGCCAGTGAATGTCTACTACAGAGGGACAATGGCGAGGCTAATTGAACTGTGTGTACCTTTTGTGAGTGTGTATATGTTTGAGTCCCCCCCTTTTCCTGCTTCCCATGGTAAAGGATTATTTGGATTTATTGTGCAGGAGGGCTTATGTGCCCAGCTGGCTCACTAAATTCTCTTTGTATTCCCTGAAACACACGCATTCACGGTACTGTATGACAGGGCTGTGTATCCGCTCACACTACATTGCCATTTTCACTCTTGTGTGGATCGTGTATTTGTACCGGTGGGATCATGCGCACATTTCCACCCACCCATAGCCGGACTGATTCTCTGTTGGGTTGAGCCTGGAGAAAAGAGAACTGGTGATTGTTTTAACTTCATGTCCCTTTAATTGATGACATCATCCGGGGGGGAGGCCAGTGGGATGAATCCCAACAGCTTTACAGCTGGCACACAAAAGCCTCCATCCATTCAACCATCTGTTTCATATGATATCTATTAATTTGTATCTTTAATGTTGTTGAGGCATCATATGCAACAACCACTTGCCATTTGTTTGACCAGAACAACGATATGTTGACTCTTACTGAATCAACCTTGGATTATGTAAGCTCTGATAGCTCGTGATACACAGGCAACGTTCTGACACAGCCAACACCGGGAAAACATGTATAACTCATTATTGCTTACAATATTTACATTCTGCAGTTTTATGTTTTTTGTCCATGCTCCAAAAAAAGCTTCACGTAGCCTGTTTCATTCTGGTGCATTTAGCAAACTAACTCAATGCTAGGTTTTCTGTTTGCTTTATGGAAGAATCACATTAGCTCACACTCATTTGTGTGTCAGTCAGTTTTTAGAAAGAAACTGTTATTGTTGCCCAGTCAGGTGTTATTAGCTCTTAGCGATATCTCACCAGAGAATGTTGTATCGTGTCATGAAAGTCATCATAACATAGTACCATGCCATTAAGTTAGCAGTGGGTTTGAAGGGCCGGCAGGAACCAATAAATAGATTGAGGCGGCAGCTCACCGATGGTAAGTTTCTAGCAGTGTATAATTGAGAGCACTAATCAATTTGAGTTTATTTCAAATGGTGCTCGCTGCAGTGTGCCTGTTTCTGTAAAGATATCATGGCGGTGGATGTGATTTGGTCCTTTATTAAAAACATTTTTAGACAACATCTCCAAGTTGTACAGAATTAGCTGTAATGATACCATTACTACCCATGCCAGCTAGCAGAAGAGTGTAGACCATCACACGAGTGTCATCATTATTTTATTGTTGGTTGAACCGCATGACTTGGACCGTTTTTCATGTCCGTTCCCGTTGTTAACTAATATTGGCCTGTGATCACTGCTCTTTTATGTTAAGTCAGATATCTGTATTTAAACTGAATAGCTTGGATTTTAATCAGTTGAAGGGGCTGATACAATATGCTTTGATAACAGCTTATTACTCCCATGCTACTATATGATGAAAAAGGCAACAATCAGTATCAAGTTGTAATGACTGCCACCACAACAGCATTTCTGTTTGTACAATAACATGGTTGTAACAAACTATAAACTGCTGAGAAGGTCATGATTTAGATAACGGACCACGATACATGAGGCTACATACTCGCTGCCAAGCTGTATTAGGACGCAGCCAACGTATCCACAATAATATCTAATAAACTTATGCCGACTGCAGGTACAGATGCTCCCAAGATAAATATGAATCAAAGATATCCGGGGGTGGTCATAGCGAATAAGTGCAGTTAGTTATTAACCCAAAGTGATTCAGTGTTTATCCTTTGGTATTTGGTTTATGCACACTGTGTGCCTGATGGCAGAGTTTAGCTGCACAGAGTTGATCAGTAATACACACAGTGGCTTGGTCTAACTATTGTGTTTATTGGTAATCCGGATAGACTTGCATTATGATACAAAATCAAAGACGTAGAGTGGAACAAAAACGGTAATATCCGAGAACCTACCGATCCAAAAAAATAGTCTTAAACTCCAATTTCAATTTCAAGAAATCCAATCTACTGCTCGCCCTCTGCTGTTAGTGTGGTGTCCCGTCATTCATAGCGTTTGTCATGAGCCACGTTGTTAGGAAACTGTTCAGAGGAAAAAAATAGACTGTGAACCTCTTCCCATCCATTAGCATGGCTAGCACAGGCTTAGCATGGACTGTGTGAGGGCAGGATTACTTTCAGGTGTTAAAATTGGATGCTAATCCTCGTCAGCTCTGCTTTTTAAAGCCCCATTTCATGGCCAGCATGGCGGTGCCTTAGTAACACACAAGGGTTAATTTGTCATTTGAGTTCAAAAGGAGAGCGGCAGTATTTGTATTACTGATGACAAACCCCTTCACTATAGACCCAATATAGGGTATAAAAACTGGGATGTTGTGCTAAATGTAACTGTTGGTGAACTGTGACTTCTGAACTATGATCACAACAAATTCCCTACTGTAAATCTGCAAGTGGGATTACTGCATATGTGGATTTGCAATTTGCACAGGGCCATCATCATTACTATGAAGATTTAATTTTATGAAACAAGATCCCAGATGTATTTCTCTACTCATGAGAACCTGCACTTGTGTGGTGGTTGTTTAACCAAGGTGATCACGTGGGTGCTGGATGGGATTCCAGATCCCATTTGACTTTAAGGGGAAGGTGCAATATGGAGGCATCACAGATATTATTAAGACAAAATGTCTTGATGTATAAGAGCAGTATCTCATCATCTTCTGTAAAGTGAAAAATAGCTATATAAATTAAATGCATTATTATGATCTCCTTTTAAACTGAAATAAGATGACAGTTGATACTTTCTTAATGTCCAGTACTGCATTCTGACATTATATCTAGCCCCATATCCTCCAGCTTCCCTTTGCATACAAATACATGATCTTTCTATACCGCAGGGACTGCCGTGACATTATCTCGTGCTCCCCCGAACCGTTTAGCATTTCGGACATTACCTCACACGGAGGCCAAGGTGTAGGCAAGGCAATTTTATTCGTATAGCACATTTCAACAACCAGGCAATTTGCAATTTGCAAAGTGCTTCACATAAAACCATTAAAAACATAAAGCAAGGAGATCTACAAAGAACAGTGATTGAAACATAAAAGAAAAACCGTCATTAAGATATGATACGATATGATACGATATATACGATTGGAACCGAAGAAACATCCTCAATAACATTATCGTTGCACACTGATGCTCCCCAAAAAGCACTTGTGACATATATCCTGTAGCACAGTTGTATGGTTGATGTTAACATCTTAGTCCCGGCAGTGACAAAGCACTATGAATGGTGATCTAAGTTTGTATTTAGTATTTCTTAAGTATGTTGTTGCAGCGTCTCTTGACCTCCATCCAAGAATTCTGCGGGTTGTACTGAACACTGCAGCCTCTTGCAGACTTGTTGTCTTGTTAATTCTCGTCTGTAGCAGTGGGAATCAGACTGTCACAGGGAGGCACAGTACTTGGAGCCTGCCCGGCTGATGCTTGGATAACCCCCTGACTGGCATGCTGCGGAGATGAGGGCAAAGAGGACAAAAGGCCATATGGTGCGCCTTGATTAATTTCTTGAGTGGCCTGTTATCTGACTTAATATAAAACTGATGGTTATTTGCTGGTTCGATACATCTGATGACGTATCTAATTGTATCCATACGAATACAACTCTGCTCAATTTGCTGTTTGTTGATGCTGATTTGCGAAGAGGCTCCAAGGTGCACATTTACATTGATTTTGGGAATAAATGTTGTTTTTTAGTGGGTTGATGTGGGTACAGAATACTGTTGCATCAGTACTGCAATGGTATTTATTTCTTATTGAAGACCTCTGTGCAAGGATAGCTTTGCTGCTGCCGTCGCAGACCCGAATGAGTAATCTAATGTCTTGCCATTGGCCCGATCACAGAACTCATGTGGGCTGATGCGTTGCACACAGCCCTCGGTGGCCTAGCCGAAATCACTGGCTGCAATGAAACAAAGCAGAGCACCGTCAGAGAATTCTAAACCTTCACTGAGGAGTTGCACAGAAAATATAATTGTGTATCAAACACAAATCTATAACAAACGAAGATTATCTTGACCTACAACTATGACGTTTTTCATTTTAAAAGATGATTTTGCAATTGATGGTAAGAATCAAACTATTTGTATTTGTGTGGTATTTCAAAAATTGGTTCACATGAGGGGCATCACAATCTTATACACTATATGAATAAAACATTTCAAACAAAGGTCACTTCTCCCTGTCTGGGGAACACTTTGTAGTACATCTTTTTCTTCATATTCAATCTCCCTTTTCTTTTCTGAATATGCAATAGCAAGGGAGCAGTTCCCAGCTCCTAACAGACTTGTTCTGTTTATTTTTTCAAAATTCCTTTATTGGAGCACATTAGGAGTATTCTGTCCCTGCTTTAATAACATGTGGTTATAGTACACGTATGTAATGTTAAAATAAACCTTAATGTCCTTAAGAATTGCCTTACAGACAGTAGTCCAAACAACTACACACCGTACATCAAACCCAACAGAGCATGAGATCCATTGATCCTACTATGACTACCTCCAAGATGTATTTAGTTTACTGACATCTGGAGTAAGAGTTGTTTAAAAAAAACATGTTTGTATTAGTGCTGACTTTGGAGATATTAAACCTTGGCCTGATGAATGCATCTATATTTGGATCCATGTGATGGGCGTCTGGGGTCCAAACAGTGTACGCGAGGTGATCAAGGTCAGCAAGAATAGTGCCGGTTGTTTTAAACAGTGTTACAATCTTT